GCAGCAAAGGCGGTGGCACTTGAGCAAATCCGACGCCGCCATAGTCATGAGGTCCATGGTTTGTTGCCAACGCCAGCAGCATATAGTCCACATTCCACACGGCCGTCCCCGAGCCACGGCTTTCGCCATTCGTTTAGTTCCGTTCAACAAGAGCGCCCGATGACCCAAGATACGCACCGGGAGCCATAGTAAGCATACCTAGTTCAAGAAGCCAATATTTTATTTTTAACAAATTACTTACTCTCCTTTAAAAGTTCTCCCAATACACCGCAATCTCGCATGGAAACCATACAGGCTCTCCTTCTACTTTTCGCCGTCGGCCTCTGGGGTGCTAAAGCCATCCTTCGCGAAGCCCTGTCGCTACAGAGTCTTTTAGCTCTTCTAGTGCGCGAAGAAGGATTCCTGTCAGAGTCTACGCAAACGGCCGACTGGGAGGCATGGGTTCGAATAGAAGGGGCTAACCGCACAAAGCTTATCACCTACTGTTTCTTCAACCTCGGCAGCATCGCCTATAATATGCCGCCTCTATTACTCACGTCGGAACTCAGCCTTATTCTTCCGCATTCCGCAAAGCTTTGGAGAGCGGAAACATCTTGGCAATGGCAAGAAGCTCGCCAGTCTTTCCCGAGTATGGATATATCTCTCCAAGACGCTTTTTCGAGACTATTCAGTCGACCACCCCAAGGACCTCCGGCGTACATGTCCTCCCTTGGAAATTACATACTGATCCATGCAATATTACAACACATTTTTCTTTTAAAGCAGACATCATTCAACTCGGTATCGATCTTTGGTGGACTTCGTCAAGACGATGTGGAAGATTGCTCTCAGGCTCTGCGAATCTGGCAGATGAGTTTCGAACAGCATCAGGCACGTGTGACAGAAGGAGCCCAGCAGAACGGCTCAGACGTATTTCATGGAGGCCCTGTGGCGTATAATTCCACAGCACTTTGGCGACTAGCTTCGATCCGACTGTATACCGATTTGAGCCCGAGTAGGACTCTCGAAACAAGGGATGCAAGTCAAATCGCCCAGGCGTTCCATGATGCACCCTATCTCGTCCGTAGCGTACGGCTAAATCGAGCCGTATTTCAAGCTATACATGCTTTGTCTATGCTGGTGAAAGTAGGCGTTAACTACGTGGCAAGAAGGAAATCGTCGGAATGGAGTATGCAACACTCGTGTAAGTGGCTACAGGATGCTCGGAATAGAACTTGAGAACGGGTTTGTCATCTAACTTTGGCGTAGTATGTAACCTGGAATGCGCTATACTTCTTTCGAAGTGGCTAATGACTCTTGCCTCGATCGGACCGACGGGCGCCCCTCCTGAAATTGACGAACGAAACCTCCTCGAGATGCTACGCCATATGCTTGACGAGACAGAGTTCGCAGTGCCTATCGACCCGTCGCTTTCGGGAGGAGGCCTAGGACATGGGCCGTCAAATATGGACATAGCCGCTAATGATGGTACAAAATTGCGTCAGCTTGCTGTGGCGGTAATCCGTCTTTGGGCTGAGACATTTAAGGGATCGCATATTTTCGACATCGTCAAAGTAATTGGCGCTGGGCTGGAGGGGTACGCAGATTTGTTAGAGAAGCCGCGGGATAGAACACCATTAGGTCGCATGGTACCTAATTCAGGACTTGGCTGACTCAATCTCTGTGAGTTCTACTACAAAACTACCTAGCCGATGAGCATACCTGAGAACGACGCCGGACTCTTCACGTATGAATACGCACCTGGTTGTTGATAGTAGTTTTTCGGGCAGCTAGCTATTTAGCCAAAGACTTCGCAACATGGAGGATGATGGTATTATTTATTAGAATACGATATCAAGGACTCTCGGTGCTTAATTGGCATTAGAAAGATTCGCAAGCATGGAAAACTTGATCGGCATGAGTATCGCTATAACTATCATAGGTATGGTATTGAAGATCTCGACAAGGGCCCATCTTGTCTATCTTGGCTGGCTGGGAATGCAATATTTCGGCTACTAGCATCATGCCGAGAAATCAATCCTCTGCTGAAGTGCGAATGAGACGGAAATACCACAGTGCTGTTGGGGTCAAATAAAAAAAATATAACAGAGTCGCAGTTGGGTGATGTCTATGAGTGTTTCTCTAGATATCTAGGTACGCAGTACATCCCCTCTGTTATCTCGACAATAGTTTAAGGCCGAGCTAAACAAATAAGGAATACGACGAGAAAATTGTGTTTACCTGCTTGTACTATTTGTGATAACTTAACGGCTATTTGTGTCTGATTTTACTTTTCTATTATACTTGAGATTATTGCCCCTACGAGGTCTTCAAGTTCTAGGGGGGATGACTCAGTGATAACTCTGCTGAATAATCTAACAAAGAAAGTACCTAACTAACCAATCACGTGACATCGTGTTGCGCCCCGCGCGGTCTGATCTGTCTCAACGCGTCATCAATCGTCGCAGACCCGACGTCTTTTCCCCTTCGTTCCAAACTTTAGCTAAAGAGCCAATTCGTCATATATAAACAAAAATAAGTTCGGATAATTGATCGCGACAATGCCTCCCAGGAAGCGCACCGCCGCCGAAGCCGCTTCTTCTACCCCGCAGGCGGGTGGGAGCTCCCGCCGCAGATCCGGTCGCATCGGCTCGAGCGGTAGGAAGAGCACGTACTTCGAGACTAACGATGATGACGATGCCGACGAGTTGAGCGGCTTGCCGCCGCGAAAAGCGCTGAAGACGCAGGCAAGGGCAAAAAAAGGGAGGAAGGAGGAGTCGGATGATGAACTATTGTACGAGGAGGATAAGAGCGAATCTGAGGATGACGACGGGGATGACGGGGATGGCTTCGTCGAGAATCAAGAGGAGTCCGACGACAACTCGGAAAGCGAAGAGGCGCCGCCGCCTGTGGCGCAGAAGCGCGGTCGCGGCAGGCCGTCTAAGACGCCGACTAAAGCTGCTCCTCCTGTGGCTGCGAAAAAGTCTAATGCGAAATCCCGGGTCTCGGGTACGGGTGCCGCTGCGGGTAGAGCCAAGGCTCAAAGTAAGGCTAAGAGTAAAGTGAAAGCGAAAGCGAAAGCTGAATCTGAAGACCCTGAAGCTGGGGATGATGATGACGATGACGATGATGAGGATGAGGATAATCGCATTACGTTTATCCCTGGTAAGCATGATCTTTCTATATTGAGTGTTCTGTCCGCGTGTCCAGGCGTGAGTAATCAGTATAGTGAATTCTAACGTGGACTGTTGCAGCCGTCAGACTGAGGGATACAGATGGGATCGATTATGAGGATGAGCGGGTCCATAAAAACACGTTTCTCTTCCTAAAAGATCTGAAGGTTAATAATAACAGGAGTTGGCTCAAAGGTATATACACTTCCCCTCTTCAAACTTTCGCGAATCCGTACATATGATTTTCATCCTAACGTGATGTTACTATTCCTAGCGAACGATAGGGAATATAGGAGGTCGCTTAAGGACTGGGAGTCGTTTGTCGAGACGCTCACAGAGAAGATCATCGAAGTCGACGACACGATCCCGGAACTTCCCGTAAAGGATGTCGTCTTCCGGATCTACCGCGACGTCCGGTTTAGCAAGGACCAGACGCCGTATAAGGTAAGTCCCCCCCTCCTCTCTCCTCACCAAGAAAAAAAAAATAAACGAGTCCTAACCGAACGCTCTCTTACACGAGTAGCCCCACTACTCGGCAGCGTGGTCGCGAACGGGCAGAAAGGGGCCTTACGCGGCCTACTACGTGCACGCGGAGCCCGGGCGGTGCATGATAGGCGGCGGGATCTGGCACCCGGACGCGGACTCGCTGGCGCTGCTGCGCGCGAGCGTCGACAACCGCCCCCACCGCATCCGCCGCGTCCTGATGAACCCGGCGTTCCGGAAGACGTTCCTGCCCGGCGTCAAGGCCAACGAGAAGGCCGTGCTGGCCGCCTTCGCGGCGAAGAACCAGGAGAACGCGCTGAAGACGAAGCCCAAGGTAAATATTAAAAAAAACCCTCGTCACTCATTTCCCCTTTACTCAGTTGCAAACCGCTCTACGGTTTTTCGTTCCGGGGTTCGAGAGGTCTAGGTAGGTAGAGTTAGTTCGCTGACCGTAGTAGGGCTTCCACCCGGAGCACAGGGACATCGAGATCCTGAAGTTGAGGAACTACACCATCGGCACGGAGATCGACGAGGCGGATCTCACGGCGCAGGATGCGCAGGACAGGGTCATGAAGGCTATCTCGGCCATGTCTGAGTTCGTGAGTAGTCGCCGTTTTCTTATCTTGCGTATGTGGGCTGACTTTCGGCGTCTGCGCAGATTTCGTTCCTCAATAGTGTCGTCAGGCCGGATCCTAATGTCGACAGCGACTCTGATGAGGCAGAGGGCGGGGCAGAGGAGGAGAAGGAGGGTGAGAGCGAGGGTGATGATGATGAAGAATAGGTTAGTCTAGGTATAAGGGCCGTCGCCATTGATGCATCGGTGGGTAATGTAAGTATCTGGCTCCCCTTCGAACGAAATTTGTCTTTGAGACTCGGTAGTTTGATGTACGATATGTCAATCCTAGTTCTATTCTTGTCGAGAGGAGTAAGTGAGAGGACCGCGATTATACTAGGCTATATAGGTATACGTTAAAATGTCCTCGGGGAGAACTTCCGAGGTTGTCTTTTATCCTAACAAACGTTTCCAAATACATGAGTTATAACTTCTAGACTCGAATGATAATCCCGAGACTTCAATTTTTTTAAATAATTATTAGTTGCAACTTTGTGTTTGTAGTAGCTGCATAGCAACTAGGTAAATATTATAACAATTGTTTTTACGTATAATACCCACATTCTGTCTGCTGTCTGCCCTTAGTCTAGCAGTCTAGACCCACGCTCCCAATCTAGCCCTACCTTATCAAATAAGCCTCGATAGCAACTTCTCTAATAACATGCAAACATCCGCACAACCCTACTAGCAATAAATATTATCTTTCCGCATGTTGAAATCATTAATTGCGACGGAATGTTCATCTAGATAAGTCTCGATTGGTCTAGTGGTCAGGATACCTGCTTGTCATCTTTGTTTGTCATCGAGCAAGCACGCAGGTGGCCGGGGTTCGATTCCCCGATCGAGAGCATCTTCTTTTTGTGACATCTCTCTCTACCTACTTCTTTTAATTAGGTAGGTAGTTGCATACCAGTATGGCAACAATTACAATCTCTTTTTTATTTTGGTTTAGAGTAGGTACGAAAATATTTTATTTCGCAAATTTATGTGCAAAATGGGGCAATTGCCTTATCCACTTATGTACAGCTACCGACACGGTTCTTAGCATTTAGATACAGAGCACTTTAACAACCACCTACTAATCTCCCTGATGCAAATTATCACCTAAATCCCCTCTTACCCCAAGAGTAAATCACTCTTTTATTCGATTAATCTAGGAGTCCCGTCGACAAACTCGGCGGCAGATCCTCATCCCTTGTACCCCAATCGCTCTCTGTAGACCCCAGTATAAAGTCCAGTGTTCCGCCGTTGACGAAGAAGTCGTGGGTAATCCAATTCCGCGTATACGGCTTCCCGTTCAGCCTGGCGCTCTGGATGTAGATGTTACGGTAGCGCGGACCGTCGAACCCGCCTGTGTTGCGCAGCGTCGCTAACTTGCCCGTCGGGGTGCGGATGCTGACCTCGCGGAACATGGGTGCCGTCAGAAGATACACGTCCTGGCCGGCTACCGGATAGAACCCCATGAATGCGAACGCCGTGAAGGCGCCCATGGCACAATCGTCGTTTCCGGGGATGCCGTTGATGCTGCTGTTAAACTGGCTGGGCACGTACTGGTGAACCCAGTAGCTACTTCGGCCGGGACGACCTCCGTAGTGGAACTGGAATGTTGGCAGGAAGTTCGGTTCGTTACCCATATAGTTAATGCCCGATGAGTGGAAATACTCTAGTCGCTTGACGAAAGACTCGCGCCCGCCTAGCGCCTTGATCAGGGAGGCCATGTCTTGCGGCACGTAGAAAGTGTACAGCCACGGGCTGCCCTCGTAGGTCTCATACTGCGTGTCATAGTAGCAGCTATGCTGTTGATAGATCGGACTGCAGAGTCGCGTGTTCTGATACCGCCAGGTGCCGTTACGGAAGCGCGGCTGCAGGAATCCTTTGAAGTCCGACATTTGCACATCGCCGTCATCGTCGCGATACCGATCCTCTTGCTCGGGGTTGAAGAGGTTTTTCCAGTTCCGGCTACGTTGGAGGTACTTCGTCTCGTCGCCACTGTGGCCTAGTCCCCGCGCCATGAGCGCGATTACGAAGTCGTCGTATGCGTATTCCACTGTGCGCGAGATACCTCGGCTCATAGGTCCTGTTCCGTTATGGTCGACGTCATCGTATGGTATATATCCTAGGTCGTGCCAGCTCACGAGACCGCCTCGTCCGGTTGTAGACCAGTCCTTGGGCTCTACCTCCGCGTCCGAGACCACGGCTTCGTATCCGAGATTCCAGTCGATGCCGCCCGTGAGGTTCTTGATATATGCGTCTGCGAGGACTACATCTGCGTTGGATCCTCCTTGCGTGTAGCCCTTGCTAAAGCTCATGCGGCAATCCGGCAGTTTGCCCTCATGCTTGTACGTATCAATTAGCGATCGCACCATCTCGGTCTGTATATCAGGATCGATAATCGTAAGTAGAGGGTGCTGAGCCCGAAATGAATCCCAAATGCAATAGAAGGAGTCATAATACGGCTCAGTCGAATTCCAAAGTTGGTTTTCTCCCGTGTAGTCTTGGGGTGAGATCAGCGCGCGGTAGAGACCCGACCAGAACGTTGTTAGAAACTCGTGGCTCATACCCGAGTAATCGGGCTTGATCACGGACAGCTTCTCCTTCCAAGCTTTCTCACTAGCCTTCACCACGTCTTCGAACCCCCAATCTAGAATCTCGGCCTCCGCATTGTGGCAGGCCTGCTCCACGGATATGAACGAGAGCCCTACCCGTGCCATGATCTGGCTCTTTGCGGGGTGGGCGAAATGGATCCAGGCACCTGCGGAGCCAGATGGGATATAGTAATTACTTCCTAGGTTTCCCATGGCGTTTACTCCCTCCGTCACATTTGTCTGTAAGAAAACACCCGTTTTCCGAATGTCGGCGCCCTTGAAATCTGCGCATACATGTGCCGTATATTTTCCGGTTCCAAACGACGGGCTAAATGATCCATTTCCTGTTATTCGGCCCGTGTCAGGGTTAACTTCGACATCGCCTCCGGTCCGACTATTGCCCAGGTCTATCAAATCAAGAAGGATCAGCGGATTAGTAGGTACCATGACACGATTTGACATGACTTCCGCCTCTTTAGACAGGCTGAACCTGTAAAGTGTTGCATGCTCGGTTGCTGTCATTTCGGCATAGACTGAATTGTTAAGCCCGATGGCAAAATAACCCGGCCGTGCTGTCGCGGAGCCGTCTATCCTTGCGACCACCCTACCGAAAGATGTGAATTCGCATTTAGAGTAATCATCCTCTGGACACCCAGGATGCACGAAGAGTGGAAAATTACCCAACGAGGGGCTCTGCTACCAGTTAGAGTTATGAAACTTGTAGAAAGTTCATCAGACTCACTCCTCCGGTGCCTTATTACAAGTTAGCGAAACGAGTAGATGAGAGTACTTGGATCGTTAGGTACCTGAATCGTGCAAGTGAGAGAAGCCTTGGATCTTTGAGTTGTCTGAGACAAACCCGGCAGCTATCTCGCCACGGTTATCCGCGTCCGCTACGGCTTTTGCCATGCCTAGGCGATTGATTAGTTCGCGGAGTTATTCTCGACGCGCATACATTTGAACATACCATATGGCAAAGTTGCTCCGGGAAACACATGGCCTATGTTTGTCTCAGTAAAAATTCTCAGAGCATGGATTGACTGGTGTTTGTTACCTACCTCCGTTCACCGTTCCGATAAGAGGGTCGACATATCGTAATATGTAGTCGCTAGATCTCACTGATGAGCCTTTGATAGTGTGTAACAACGTAATGGGAGAATTAAACCTAGAAGGAGGGAGCAAGGCCCAGACTAGCAACGCTATCACTGGGATGACAATGACGAAGAGAAAACGCCTCCGCCGCGGGAGGCTTTTAAGCAACGGCATCATCATCATGGCCATAGCGATTCGAGAACGGCCTGAGCGACAGTTCGCTCGTGAAAGCCTAATTCACGTTTCGACTGTAGATGGCTGGCAGTGCAGACGCAAAAGCCATTGGTACCGGGAATTGGACCTTCAATCCCGAATAAGCTCAGCATTGGTCAGCGACGCACAACCAAAAATCATCTGTTTTTTTTCTTTCTTGCTCCCTCACCTTAGGTTTACTCTAAAGTTCAAGACCTCATTCTTCAGAACTTGGAGCAAAATATACACCGGTCTTAATATTCATAATAGAACAACCGCCCTTACAGGAATACCGCCGTATGAGTGACAATGTGGCCAAAAATGCAAGATCCGAATTAGAGGGTCTCGGTGTTGCAGCCTTGGCAATTAGGGGAATTCGGCTGAATTGCATTTGACCAGGGGTCCCTTTACGCAGGGTTACATCGGCACCTGGAAATAGTAGATCATGAGAATAATTGGCTGTAAAATTGAATTTTTGGTGCTGGTAGAGCTAGGTAGGGTACTATTAAGGATGGATGCTGATGGATGATGGATGCTGATGAATTAATGAAGGAGCTTGCTCTTCCGATTTGGTCAGTTCATCGTATTGTCTCATTGTCGCATTGTTGCACAAACCCTATCGCGCATAACATTTCACAAAGCCAAGATGTACCAAGATACTTATCTTTATAATTGTATAAATATTCACAATAAACGTAGTTGAATAAAAGTGTTAGGGAATATAATGATAATAATGATGACCACAACTGAGATGTTATATTTGAAATAATTTTTAATAATATTTTATTCTAAATAAATAGATTGGTGAAATGAATCGTCTACATATCAAGACTTAGGGGGGATCCAAGACTTACATTACCTATCGTCATTTGCATAAAGTTATGTAATCACATAATTAAGCTAATGTATTGTAATCCATGAGTCTAGCCCTAGGTCCATAAGTATGTAACTAGTACCCCGCACTAGTAAGATCTCATCTTGTAACATTGAATCTCAACTCCAGTTTAGACATTAATCTATCTAGTAATAAATACCTTATACATACATCCGTCATTATATAAAAAGTGTGTAGAGAAATACTGAGTATGTACTTCGTAAACTCGTAAAAATACCCCTGGTAGTAACGTCCATTGAACCCCATAAAGTGTCGGCAGTCAGCCCCGCACCCCCACGATCCACCAAGCCTCTCCGACGTCATTCATCCCGGGCAACTAACTTCTAATCGACAGCGATGTTCGGATATCGCAAAAGAGCAATTGACTTCATGAAAGGTATATTTGAGCCAGTATTTTGATACGGGAAATGTCAGATCTGAAGTCTTTTAGTGAAATTTCTTATACTTACGTTATCAAACACTCTAGCTATCAAACTCCGAGACCGGACCGTGCCAGTTTGTAGTCACAGCTATGGTCAGAATATTTATCTATGGATGCACTTAGATAAGCTAACAGTACATCTTGTGCCAAAACACCTTAGCTTTATCGTACATTTTGTACTTGAAAATTTTACCAATCTTTAATCTTTCTCAGTTATTTAGAAAATTTAATGAAGTGCCTTTCATCTGAATATTTTTCTATCTCATTAACAACTATTTCTATCTCGTAAATCAAATGTAAAATTTCAACACATTTTACCCTTTATGTACCCGGCTAATCACGGCTTAGCTCTACCTCTACGATAACTGATAACAGGCCTTGAAAAGTTTCCACAAAAAACTTTGCTGTTTTTTTTCGTCGACCTTATATACCAAGTCGTATGTTGAGTCATCTCGTGAACTTCCCTCCACATTCGCATCTAAAAGACTAACTCAACTGCTTGACTACAAGTGGTATTCGTTTCTATACCGCTCTTGATAACTTTTAGACTATCTACTCGGGAACTCAGAACACGCCATCACTCAGGCACTTATCAACATTCACCATCATGTCTAAGGGTCGTGTCTGTCTGTGAGTTCTCCTTTAAACCCATATACCCCTATT